AAATAATGTGTTGGTGTGCAATTTAGGATTTGTAGAGCATTGGCGCTGTGTGTTTAAAATACCTTTCATTCTCAGATGAATTATGACTCTAGCCACTGCTTTGATTTTGCAGTCTTTACAATGGGTGAATATGGGATTTAGTTCAAGTAAAAATTAGGCTGTTAGACCTAGCTTGAGTGACTGAACACGGTTCTCTATGCTCTATAGGTGGGATAGTACAACCTTTCTGATAAGGAATTGGCTTATTTATTATTGTCCATTTTGCTGACTTGATCCATATATGAAGAGATGGTAAAGAGGTAGTTAGGAGTGATTTTTCTCACCGAGAGGGATAGTTGGGGTGAATTATGGATTTTCCTGAGATAGTGTGAGAAATCCTCGTAATGCCCATTCTCTTGTGGATTTATTAGTCTTCAGATGTAGGCTTATTTGAGCTGAACCACGCAAGTTTGGGTGTGCTTTACTTTTCTGTTCTCTGTATATTCTACTCAGTTCCTCTTGTACTAACTACTATGTCATAATAGTGTGCCACCATAAATATATTAACTAATATATAACAACAAAAAGAACTTTGAGGGACACCAAGAGCTATGGTTGAAAAGAGATATTAGAATGAAGAATGTTACAGGATTTGTCTTCTCCAGAATTGGTGCATTAGACTATCATAAATGCATGTTGGGAATTTCTCCTCCCAAGAGTTTGGTATAAGACATTCTGTGTAACGGAAATTCTAACCTCTAACTTCAACCTGGTATAAATTCACTCACATCCATCTCAGCCATTGATTTTGATCAAACTTTGTTGAGCCATAGAAACATTTGGCATAATATTGTGGTCCTCGTGGAGGAACAAAGAGCTTACACCATCAAGTCTCAAGCCATTCACGTGTATGAGTTTTTCTTATACACCTTCAAAGCATACATGACCCTACCAAATCTCCCCCTTGAAATTGCTTGCTCAGAATATAAGTTTGCCTTTAGTGTGGATTTCTCTCTTCAAGACAGATCAACAATCTTTGAACCAAACATCTTTTAAGACGAGTGAAGCTCACAGTGCAATTTACAACCCAAATGGCTTCAGCAACTGCTACTGAGCCAGTTTGGAGAATAACAACCTATGGAAGGGGCTGCAAGTCAAACTTAGTACTCGAAACAATCTAAGCAAGAGAGTAAGCACTAAGGAGAGCGTGCATCAAATTCTTGGAGTAATCTAGGACAATGTCATTAAAACCGGAGCCTAATGGCTGCTTCAACTGGGAAAACCATGAACCGGACCAAAATCCAGTCTGCTTATAAGATAATAAATGTTCACAAAAGAACTGGTAAAAAATCAATCACTCTGTTGGTTCCACCATAAACCGGCTGAACGGGCTGTGGTTTCCCTTGTTTTAGGGTTCTCTTAATAAGAAAAATAATTCAAACTCCCAAGAATAGTGACTCGGAAAATTGGCTCACCGCAAGGCTGTTGATTTTCCTACTCAATGGGCTGCTCCTTTTATAGCTATTTCCTCTCTCATCCCAATTCTTTAATTTCGATGTGGGACTTCATGAAACCCCAGCCAATTGCAATAACACTTCTCCTGTTTTTTAAGTCTTCACTCATCATATTTCCATATCATGTAGTTGTACAAAAGTACTCTTTTTTTAGTGGTTGAAACATTCTAATTTTGATCAAACAAATAATTTGGATAAATTGGTGTTAATTTTTGAGATGTTCAAGCAAATTTACAAATATAATATTCTGTTTAACAATCATGAATCTGCATTTACTTTGAATTGGTGATGTAAAATTTAACCACATATCGTTAACATTTTTTTAGTACATAAATAAATATTTATTTATTTTGACTTCTAGTTTGACCCTGGTTGTACCTTTTGACCCTTGACCCTTTTCCATTAAATGCCTGAGCCAATTTTTAAAACACTGGTCTAGGGCGAGCAGCCTTTGCCTAATTCAAATCTGTTGAAGAGTGAATGGTGAAGGGCAGTGGCATAATAAGAACTTGAGATCCTACTTCACGGAAAACCTTAGGCCAATTAGGTGTATTTCCTACTTTTAGATATTAGCGCTTTGCTGCTTCTTATAATTCTCCACCCATAGAGCATGATCAAATTCATAAAATTTGTCATTTCGTTGAACTGAAGGACCCTTTTAATGGGAAACAGGGCCCAGTCCTTGGCCTAATGGTTAAACGGTTGGGCTGATGACCAAAAGTTCATCTCTGGAATCTACAGTTACAAGTGCCAAAGATTTGATCCATATCGAATCCACCCTTCAAGTATTTTTTGTTTTAAGTGGGTTAGAGTATATAAGTTTCCGTTCATTTGTCAGTGTACATCGACAGACTTACTCTTAAGATCAATCAACATGAAAGTTTCATTTGAATTGAATTTTAATAATTGATCAGTATTTGACTTAGAGACTATATAACTTGTTTTGTTCTTATTTTGTTATATGTTGATGAATTACCAGATGGGAGATTGGTAAATTCTCAATCTGCTAAAGTTTAGTGCAAATTAGAGACTCAAACAGTTTACCGTGTTCAAGTTATGCTAAGAATTTTCTTCTGACAAGCTTGTTATATAAGACAAATGTCAACACTAGCCATGTCCATTTTTCTTCTCGTGATTTTTATCTGAAATTGTACTCTTTGAAACTGAGAATTATCAAAAACAAGTTGTGGTTGCTCCTGATTTGTTTCTGGTCCCTACTTATGTTACTGCATTCAACGTCTTCTTCTGCAACTTCTTTTTTGTTTTAGCAATTTATACATCTGTAATGCAATGACCACTCTTTCCTATTGTCTCCAAGAGTATGCCATCGATTGGATCCAATCATGTTAGTGCTGACTTTTGGCTACTTGATTGTCTTTGCAGTACTCCGCCGTGCAAGTGTTGGTTCGATTATGTGAGCTTGATAATCTGAGTTTACGGGCAAATGCTGTTAAACTGTTACATTGCGTGACTGAAGATAATGATGAAAATGCAACGTTGGAGCACGTGGAACGGTCATCAATTGAGGTATTACTCAATGTCATTAGGACTTCTGATGACGAGGAAGAAATTGCTTATGCAATGGGCATTATTGCTCACCTTCCTGATCCCACACAAATCTCTGGGTGGCTGTTGGAATCAGGAGGTCCTCCTGTAATTTTTAGTTTTCTTCCTGATGCCAAGAATAGCTTTCACCGAAAAAGTCAGTTGATCGAGAATGCTGTTGGAGCCATATGTCATTTAACTGTTCCAGCAAACCTGCAATCACAGAAGAAAGTAGCTGAAGCTGGGATCATTCCAGTGTTGGTGCAGTTGTTAGAGGTGGGGACCAGTCTGACAAGAAGACAAGCTGCAATTTCTCTTGGTCAGCTTTCAGTGAGTTCTCCTATGCTGAGTAGGCGAATCCCAAGGCATCAGGGTTTTTGGTGCTTCTCGGCTATACCAGAGGCATGTTGCCCCGTTCATGGAGGAATTTGTACAGTAGAATCATCATTTTGTCTACTAGAGGCTGGTGCAGTCGAACCTCTTGTAAGAGTTCTAGGGCAGCCAGAACATGGAGCCTGTGAAGCTGCTTTAGATGCGCTCCTGACTTTAATTGATAGTGAAAGGCTGCAATGTGGTAGCAAGGTGCTCGTTGAAGCAAACGCTCTACCTGTGATGGTAAAATTAATTAGCAGTCCTCCTCCAAGGTTGCAGGAGAAGGTTTTAAGTTCTTTAGAAAGGATTTTTCGACTGGCAGAAATCAAACAAAAGTATGGACCCTCAGCTCAAATGTCTTTGATTGACTTGACACAAAGGGGAAACAACAGCTTGAGACCTTTAGCTGCCAGGATACTTGCTCAGCTAAATGTGCTGCACGATCAGTCCTCGTACTTTTAAATGGAGAATTATCACTACGTATCTGACTCGTTAATCTGGATAAAGGATTGGCGACACCAATCCCATTATCACTTCCGAAAGAACTGTCAACTAGGAACAATTGATATCCATTCTCAGGCATCAAAATTCCAATTTTTTAGGACTGAGGTTGTCGTCCAACTTATCTGTAAATACGACAGGTTTTTTTATATTTGATCAGTAGCTCATTGTGCATACTTTTCAGTTAATAGAATCCTGATTGTTTTATTACTGGTAGTAAATTATTATATGAAGCATCTGCAATTAGAAACTCTCGTAGTGAAGGCGTGTTCCAGAATTTTAGTTTGATAATTCTTTGTAACAGATAAATAGCATCTGCAATTAGAAACTCTCGTCTCTTGTTATGTTTGAATATATATGTTAAATTTTCTTGGAAGTCCAATAAAGAATGTTGTGAAGGTTGAAGAGCTTTCGTTTCTCATAGTTGTGGTCTGATGCTATGTTTGGTATTGGATTAGATCGTATGAGAAATTATGCCTAAAATTAGAAGAAATGGTACTAGGTGGATAGTATTAGGGTAAATTATGGGGGATAAATTTTTTCAAATTTTTCATTCAAAAGAAGGCTATTTGCACTATCTTTTTTATCCGACTTAAACCCCCATCTCGTCACTTCGTAACATGTTATTAAGTTAGCTTAAGAAAGATAGTGCAAATAACATCCACTTTAATACACCCTAATGCCATCTACACAGTATATGTACTCTAATTTAATACGTAACGGTCTAATTTGGTGCGTCAAACACAACCTGAATGCGTAGACCTGATTGTAATAGTCATTCCTATGCAGGGAGACTCCAAAAAAACTGTGTACTGTACATGGATTATGGAGTGATTGGGATAAATCTCAATTAGTCCAAACTCAGTAATTCAAAATATAAAGATATTTGCCTTATAAATGATGTTCTAAGTAACATGAAGTTCACATGCAAATACATGAACCATGCATAATTGCAACAATTTGATAGTCATAAATGAAAGAACTAACATTGCCTATGCTGCACATATTTTTTCATCGACCTCATACATATGAGCATTCATACATCATCCGGATCTGAAATAATTTTAAGGGGTTTTCATGTCTGACATATTATGCTTTCTTTACTTTCGTTCTTAATTTTCTTCTCCTTCCCAAAAATTTAAGAACTTCATCGATGAATATGACTGGAGCTGAAACCAAGATCACCAGGAGCCATTCGTTTAAACTCAATGGAACGATACCAAACAAATTCGCAAGGAAAGGAACGTAAAGTATAAGACAATGTAGCCCCAACGAGACTGACACGGCAACAAGAAGCCAAGGGTTTCTCCAAGGTGGCATTCGGATCAAGCTGTTGTCTTCAGAGAGGGCATTGAGAGAATTGAACATTTCAATCGCAACCAAAACAGAAAGTGACAGAGTCATTGCCTTCACTTTACCAGCAGAAAAATAATCACAAGGGTCGGAGAAAGTAATCAAACGGCCATCTCCAACTGTGAATGGAGTTGCAGTAAAATTTGACCATGATGAGCATTCCCCCCAGTTGCGAAGCTTAGATAGTTCAATCAGCGTATGCCCATCGCCCACTAGGTTTATACCGAGGAATGATGGCTGTGTGTACCACAAAATAAAGATGCCAACAGTAGCAATGCCAACATAAGAACCAATCACCTGCCAGCATACCCACATTGCAACCAAATGTTCAGTTAAATTTTCCCCGTTGTTTAGATTAAGTTCTATGGTACAGATAGTAGAAAGCAACAGCCTGCTACATTTGAACACATGCACAATTGTATGCTATGTAAAAACATATGGCACATATCAGAATTTTCGACGTAGTAAACTACGGTACAGGATCAAAGACCAAAAACAAGGGTGAAAATGAGAGACCAAAAGAGGATAATATCAAAAGAAGGAAACAAAACTAAGCCAAAAGGAGGTAACTGGCAAGAGGATAATCAAGAAGCCATGCTAAATCTAAGGGATATATGATATGGTGATTGTAACTGACCATATAGCGGAAGAGAACCCAAGAGTTTATGAGAGCATCATTGCTCCTCCGGGGTGGTTTACTCATAATATCAACATCAGCAGGGTTAAATCCAAGGGCTGTAGCTGGTGGGCCATCTGTAACCAAATTTACCCACAGCAGCTGCACAGGTATCATACATTCTGGTATCCCTAGAGCCGCAGTCAAGAATATGCATATAACCTCCCCAATGTTTGACGATATCATGTATCTGCATATGGAAAAATTCATAAACAATTAGTGACTATTACAAAATTAACACAGGACAGAACCAAAGGCATGCCTGTAAAGTGATAGCTTACAACATATGAAGAATTTTTTTGGTTATTCCTATCTTCTTGGATGTCAGAATATAAAAAAATTACTAGTCCCCCTTTTTTTTGCTTATAATCCTGTGATTAAGTTAGATGGTTTTCTCATCATGAGCCAGCTTGTCCACAGAATTACCTTGACTTTGTACAGTGTCCTTGTCTTATGTAATAAAATTTTCTGAAAAAATTGTACCTGATAAATGCTTTCATGTTATTATAGATTGCACGACCTTCTGCAACAGCTGAAACTATGGTTCTGAAATTATCGTCAGCCAAGACCATATCTGAAGCTTCTTTGGCAACCTGAAATATTGATTTTGAGGCAGCAGAATCGAAAAACTTAACACAAGTCCAAAAAGATCAAGTAGAACATAGTTTATAAATTATAAAAGAAACTGGATCCTATGATTTAAATTAGGCTAATTAGACAACAAATGCTTAGGTGCAGAACTAGTAAAGATAATTTATTCACAGTGCCAGAAAAATTCAGCCACATATATAACTTGCAATTTATGATCCATCAAAGTATCTCAATATTGTTCACTGACACCTTGATAAAACCTGATCTAAACCCCATTTTTTGAGAAGCTTCATGCCATGTAAGAGTTGAGAATCAGTGAAGTTAATTGCAATAGAGGTAAAGATGTAGTAGTCAAATTCTAAGGAACAGTTTGTTCCATTACCTCAGTTCCAGTGACACCCATAGCTATTCCAATATCAGCAAGTTTCAGGGCAGGTGCATCATTGACACCGTCACCAGTCATAGCAACAATTTCCCCCATCTCTTTTAGCATCCTCACAATATCTTGCTTGTGCCTAGGCTCAGCTCGAGAGAAAACCGTTCCCCCAGGTTCTGACAAAATCTCAATTTGTTGTGAAGAAGAAAGAGCCATGAACTCTTTACCAGTAAAACTTCTTCCTTGGAGATTCTCACCTTCAGAAAACAACCCAATTTCTCGACAGATAGCTTCAGCCGTTGACTTATTATCTCCAGTTATCACCATAACCTTGATCCCTGCTCCCCTGCAATCCTCCATTGCTTCGTGAACTTCCTCACGAGGAGGGTCCTGCCAATATACGTGATCAGGACTACTAATAAATATAATTAATTATGTTTAATAATGAGTACATGTAATGCTGAAGTTCATGAACTTAGCGTCCTCACCCTTAGACCAACTACCCCTACAAAAACTAAGTCACTTTCTATCGAGGAATAACAGGAAGGATCTAGCAACTTCTTGTGAGCAGGATGATTCGCAGTATAGTAATCTGAAAGATCCCCCAGTTCATCTTTATATGCTAAACCCAAGCACCGCAAACCCTTTGAACTCATGTCCAAGTGCCTTAGAAGCAATAGTTGCCTACAAGGCTCATCAAGGGGAACAATTGATCCATCAGCAAGTTGTACGTGGGAGCTACGTTCCAGAAGATTCTCAACAGCACCCTGCATGGGCACAATTAGTCAATGTGAAGAGGAACTACATTAGTTATGGAAGCTCAAAATCAACTACTACACGAGGGGTTCTCTGTAGAAGGAACCACAATGAATAAAAATCAACTGACCAATTGTGAACCTCTTCTGAACATTTAAGAATATTGAATTTGGTTCTTAAAAGTTTCCAAGTAACTACATGGATGAAAATAATAAAATCAGAAATCTAAAGCACAACTATTTCCTCACATTTTTTGCCAACTGAACAATTGATAATTTAAAATCAAAACAATCAAAATAAATGTAGCTACCTTGACAAGAAGGCGATTATGTCCATTTGGCTCACGGACAATAACACTCATTGATTTGCGAACACGATCAAATTCAAGGGTTGCAACTTTTTTTGATCGTTTTGTCCACCATTCGCAGCACCCTAGAGTGATAAAAATCCACTAATCTGAAATTGAAATGGCATAACTGCAAAAAATGCTGAAAGTAAGTTCTGACAAATGATTGCTCACCTAACTTGACCGTCTTTCGGTCAATCAAATAGTTTGCCACAAGCTGTGAATCATGGATTCTGTTCCTCACCTTGCTATCTGGAACTCCCATCTTTTCTACCAAGACCTTTAGTGCTGCCTCAGTGGGCAGTCCTGTTGCTTTGAACACACGGCCATCACAAGATATCCCAGCGTCATTACACATTGCACATATTTCTGCCACCGCTTGCAAGTTGGCATCCATATTATAGCAATTCCAGTCAATTATACCTCCATCCTTAGGATTATAAGTTGTGCCCTGGACATGAAAAATTCTAGAGGCCAAAGTCTTACCTCCAAAGGTGAAGAACTCTGTCACTGACATCTGGTTTGTTGTCAAGGTCCCTGTTTTATCTGAACAAATAACAGTTGTACATCCTAAGGTCTCCACACTTGGAAGCTTCCTCACAATTGCATTCTTTTGTGCCATTTTCCTTGTTCCCAGAGCTAAACAAGTCGTTATTACAGCCGGAAGGCCTTCTGGTATTGCAGCAACTGCAAGGGCAACTGCTATCTTGAAATAATACGTGCATCTTTCAAAAGAGAACTGGAAATTTGTAGGCCACCCATTTACAAGCTCCCATGTTAGAAAATATTTGTAGTTGATAATCCATACGGTGAGGCAAACAAGGCCAATTGCAGTTGTAAGCTTATTACCAAATTCATCAAGTTTTTTCTTTAAAGGGGTGTCACTCTCTTCCAATGAGGCCTCATGTATCTGAGTTTGTATCTTGCCTATTTCAGTGCGCATCCCAGTGTTCACAACAATGCAAACACAGCTACCGTTCACAACTGTTGTTCCAGCAAAAACCATATTTTCTTTGGCCTGCAATTCACAATCATCCATAAAAATAACGTTGGTGCCTTTCATCACAGGCATTGTTTCCCCTGTCAGTGAGCTCTGCTCGACTCTTAAGGTTGAAGTTTTTAAAATCGCGACCCTCATATCCGCTGGTACTTTATCTCCAACACGCAATTCTACAATATCACCAGGGACAAGCTCCCTTGCAGGCAGATCCGGCACTAAATATCCATCTCTTAGCACTTTTCCAGAATCACATTGCATCTCCTTCAAAGCTTCAAGTGCCTTCTCAGCATTACTCTCTTGCCAAACACCCACAATGGCATTAAGGATTAAGATTAAAACTATCACAAACGGTTCTACATAGGCTTCAAACCCTGACTCGCCAGTTTCATTCCCATGCAAGTAAGCAAGAACTAATGATATTAATGCTGCTAATAAAAGGATCTTGACAAGCATATCATCAAATTGTTCCAGAACAAGTCTCCAAAGGGGCTTCCCCTTCTCTTTTTGGAGTTCGTTCCAACCAGATATCTCTCTCTGCTTTTCCACCTCGTAGCTGCTCAGACCCTTTTCAAGTTTCACTTTGTACTCCTTCAAGCACTGCTCTACGGGCCATGACCATGCTTTGAATGATTTCTCATTCATTGTTTCTTCCATTAGGAATTGAGTTCTCACACAAGAAAGGACTTCTATGATATTAGCCTAAATCAATTTCAAATCCTGCAAAAGAGTTAGATATAATGAATAACAAATGTAACCATCAAATATCTAATTAAATAGATGAAGAAAATAAGAATAACAAAATACAACCAAATATTCTACAACTGGAAACAATACTACTATTTGATCCTTGACAAAGACTAATACATTGACTGCGCCATAGAATAAATGAAAGATTAGACTTTGTGCGACCAACTAATTTGTCTCTATAACGTCATGAAACTTATCACTATTTATTGCACACTAAACTAACTCTGCATATGGATTAAAAATAAAAATAAAAAATAAAGCAAATAAATGTTGCAATTCCCAACAAAATATCATTAAAGACTTACCAATAAAATGCAACTCAAACGAAAAAGCTTCAATCTTTAGCAAATATAAGCAAAACCCAGGATTTATAAGCAATAAATTCGTAGAACAGGCGATGGCTTTGAGACAAAGCTAACTGTGGAAAAAAAAAAAAACTTGAAAATAAAGAAATTCTGTAGAAGATTCGGCTTGGAAATTCTTTTGTTCGAAAAGCATTTGACTGGAGAATTTGTATCACTTTAATTTATTTAAAGCGTAGTTTCTTGGCCATTGAAATGTTGAATGGGAGAAAAAGTGGATTTTGAAATCTCTTCCTCCTCCTTATATATATATATATATATTTTTTTTTTTTTTTATGCTTTACCGTTATATAAGTCAGTTTTGTTGAAATTCAAAATCCAGAGTTGGAGGTTTTTTTTTTAAAATTACTTTTCGGTTTATGCCAACGAATGTTAATTAATTTCGATAATGGAAAATTACGTGCTATACTTTTAATTAAAGGCCAACTGTTAATTATTTGAAAATGATGGTTAATTACAACTTTTTTTTTTCTTCGTGTTCTTTAATGTAATTCGTACATTGACTTGCTGTATGAAGACGTGCACTACAAGTGGAGTTGGAATCTGAGAAATAGAAATGCATTTGTGGTATGGATTGTCTGTAAATGCCTCTCTTTGTTTCAATTTTCAAATTTTAGTTGTTTTTTTGAAACACAACAAAATCTGCAGTAGGTATACTACATTAAGGCCCCTCTGTCTTGTTGAGATGTCCTTTGAATTCTAAACTGGATATGAATTAACTATTTTTTTCGATGGTTACGTTACATGTATCGAATTTTTTTACCAAATCTTTAACACTCCACTCACAATAGAAAGTGGGGGCCATGGGTAGGCATTATTTAATATACGTGAGGGCCGCGCCTCATGTAAGAGTGTCCCTCCTCGGTATAAGAGACTTTTTCCTTTTTTGGAATAACTGCTAACGATAAATAATAACTAGTATTCATCCAAAATATAGATATAAAATATTATCCCGAGTGGACTATACGCATCCACACATGGTCCATCTTTAACCTCTGCTTTCTAAAATTCTCCAAACTCATTTTTTAGAGACTTTTTTTAATGCTCCTCCTCAAGAAGAAAATTCCAAGAAAGTTCCATAAAGGTTTTGTCTTCATGTTAGGTTGGGGGTTGGCATCACAATTAAATTTTGTTTTATAATATTTAAACTTGTGTCAACAACCATGTCCCATTTTCTTCAACTTTTTTCTCATAAACAATGAGATAGTGGAAGAAAGACAGACATGTATATAATAAAATATATAAACGCAGTTGTGTTTGATTTAATATTAATTTATTTATACTATGAAAATTATAGTCATCTTAACATATGAACTCAGAAATAAATGTCAGGCCATCACTGGTTTTCAGAATAGAGTTTTCCATGGCTAGCAACTTTGCGTCTGATTTTAGATTAAATCGTCACATTTCTTTTTTGGCAATTGGCATTGTCTTTTTATATAAAAAGTTAATTGACTAACTTGAATGATGCCACGCATGTCAATGCCTTGTAATTACACGTTCCCAACAACTAAAATTAAGCCTGTGAGGTTCTTGTTTGGCATTTACCATAATGGAATAATAGAATGAGATCATAATATAATCCCAACAAGCTAATTTACCCCTTGTTTGTTGGGCATTATTCAACTCATTAATAGAATAATTGTGACCGTTACTAATCAAAGTGGGACCTACTTGTGAGAGCTTTGTCAGAAAAAAAGTCTGCTAGAAGGTACAATAAC